CGCCCTCCGCGCTGGGGGCCGCAGCCGCGAGACGCAGTCCCCCAGCCCCAGTGCAGGAGCGCGGGCTTACGCATGGGGGTAGGGGAGCGCACAGATACTGACACCCTAATGCAGTCCAGGGCACAGGTGGAAAAGACGGGGTGAGGGGACACAGGGAAGAGGGGAAGAGGAGGGCGCACAAAAAGCGGGGGTGAAGGGATGGGAGGGTCTAGACCCAAAGTCTTCTCTCCCCGCCTGCCGGGTTCTCTCTCCTCTCCAGGCGGAGCACTGGGCCCCTGCGAAAACAGGCGCTATTCACGACACTGCAAAAGATGTTAGACTGCTGGGGACTCAGTCCGCCTCCAGGTTCAGAGTGCCGCAGAGAACACAGGCCAGGTTGATTCCGGGCAAGAGATTTGAGGAGACAGGTAGGGATTTCGACACAAGGCCCAGAAAGGTAGCCTGGGCTCATACATTCTCCTCCCGTGGAAAAATCAAGGGTAAAGACCTTTTTTCCTTCTTCTTCTTCTCCTCCCTGCAGCTCAAACTGTGATGGGCACAGAGAGGACCCTCAGATCCCAATCTCATTCTCCCCTGTTGAAGGAGGGGTGCCACAGTACCAAAGCACCGACACCTGAGTCAGGGCTCCGAGTGGTGCACGAGTGGTGGTGCACGTTTAGCCAAGTCACCTCCCAGCTCTGAGCTTGGGTTTCCTTAAACAGCAAATGGGAGGAAGGACCCTGTCCTCCCCAGGTCACAGGGAGAATTAATAAAAGCTTCTACTGGCATCCAGAGCCGCCGATGAAAGGTTGCAGAACAAAGTCATTAAAGCGATGATATTTACACTGTGCCATGCAAAGCTTCCAATTATGACACACCTATATTCACACAGTTGTGACTGTGGACACGCAAAATGCCTGAGGCCCTGCGTCCAATCCCGGAAGCACAGTTCCTAGGAGGAGTCACTATAATGGCCGTATCTTCCCTCCCCGAGGCTGAGGGACTGAGTCACACACTTGTCCAAACGGGCAGGAGCCCCACAGACTAGGTCCTTTCACCGACCAGGAAACTGGCCCAGAGAGGGGAAGGGGTGTGCCCAGGACCACAAACCCAAAAGGACAGCTCTGTTCTCCCAGCAATCACCAGGAAACTGGGTCTATCAAGAGCCCATTTCCAAGAGTGAGAAGCCTCCTCCCAGGAGGGCCTGCCTTCAGTGACACCTTTGCTAGACAGGGGGTCACCAGCCAGGCGGTGGGCTTTACTTGGCCTGTGTGGTGCTTTCTGTTGTTGTATTGTTAATCCCCAAAGTTTTTTTTTTGTTGTTGTTGTTGTTGTTGTTTGCTTTTTTTGTTTGTTTTGAGATAGAGTCTCACTCTGTTGCCCAGGCTGGACTGCAGTGGCCCAGTCTCGGCTCACTGCAACCTCTGCCTCCTGGGTTCAAGTGATTCTCCAGCCTCAGCCTCCCTCCTGAGTAGCTGGAATCACAGATGTGCACCACCACACCTGGATAATTGTTGCCCAGGACCACACAGTATTTTTAGTAGAGATGGGGTTTCAC